GTTGCCATTTAAAATAGCAGTGGAGTTGGTTTAGCTGCTAAGGCCCGACCGTCCAAAACCGCCCATGGCTCCAAGAAAAATTGCAAAAACCCCGATTATGCAGTAGTAAGCCTCCTGGATAGAGACATATATGTCCATGTGGGTCCTAGACGTGGTCTGCTTGATGAACTGTTCAGCTCCACCGTATGTTGGTGAAATGAAAATATTAGCTCCTGTTGCCCATCAGCTCGTTGGACAGCCCTTCGTTTTTGGAGTGATCTGTGGCGCTTGCACGATTCTGTTAGTGAACTAAAGGATATTCATAATATCCATTTTCTCCTCCACATACATGACGATGTCAACAGACTTAGAGCGCCATTTCCATTTGAGCCTTTCTTCCAACATTTTCGTGGCAGTATGAGAGAGTCAACTTACCTCGCCGCGCAGGCATATAGGCACTTCACCAAGAGACGCTTGATTGCGTCACTTAATACGCTCAGTGCTGCTAGATGATGGTGACGGAGTCGCGCGCTCTTTTCAAATGCCCCGGCGATTCACCGCTATTTTCCATAAGGAGTAACTTTTGTTCACTGAACCCTCGGCAATTGGGTACTTATTAGGCATAGACAGTGCATACTGAAACCCTCATTGGCTACCGACATATCGTAGCCCACAACTTTTACAATGCTCCTGCTCTCTTTGTCCACATATCTACTTATATTTTGACGGCCTCTGTGTTAACAAACATTCAATTAACTGGTACAGGCACTTATATTAATTTTAAGTGCGTTCTTTTCAACATTGACAGCAAAGTTTCCCATTCCCCTACTAAATCTTATCCATTCATACGGACCCATTTTTCGTTACATCCATTTCGTAAAACTCTTCTTCCTGAAATGGAGGACGTAGCAGGCAACATTTTCTACAAATGTATTCCGTAGTGAGACTTGCTAACGAAAAGGCTGTTTTTCAGTGGATGTCGTCTTGTTTTACATCTTCGGCAATGTTGTGTGGCCCAAGAAACACAAACAACGGACTTGTCTGCTGGAAAACAGCCAGCGGCCATAAATAATAAATAATAATTTTTACAGTTTAGGCAATGAAAGGGAAATGCGTAGAAAAGGTGCCGACACTGCAGAAGGACCGACAATTGACGTGAAAAACGGAGATATTTTAAAACCTCTCTAGCTCCGAGCCGCGTGAACTGGACAGGGGTATGAGGACCAAGTACGATATGATATACAGTGAATTTTCCTTTGTAGACCTGTTCATAGGCTAATATCGGACTTAGACGAGTACGACCCGTTAAAAAGACTGAGAAAGCCCCTGGTTGACCAACATCATCCCGAATACTACGGTGAGCTTAGCTATCACGGACACTTTGGAAGCCTAGAACAGACGACGTTATGGCGCACATATTTCTGTCAAGAAGACTGAGCCAACCCAAACCATCGGCCTCGCGTCAGTACC